TGATGTAACGCACTGCTTCCCTGTTTGAAGCGTGGGGAAGAAAACAAGTCACTACTCAGAGTCCTGTTTTATCAGTGTATCACAATACTTAGGGCATCAATGCTCTGTTCAGCCATTTCATATAGGAGGAGGACACGAGCAATCCTCCCTCTTCAGATCACGGCAGTTCTCATCTATCCCATAAGCATAGCCACTAAAATCTATCAGGAGATAATGTGGTAGTCAAATGGGAAAAAAGGGATACTGGCCCCAGTTCTTATTTCAAGTGTTATCACATATACACTAAAACACAGCTTTATCAAAGTATAGTCATCCACTGGAAAATGTATGTAAAGAACACAGACTCTCAACTATTACATCAAACAACAAATAAAATTTTTCTGAATGTAACAATCTTACTTGCAAGCAAGTCGATAGCCACTAATTACTGATGTGGGATGAATTTTCTGTTTGACTAGTTCATCTGCGTTTTTTAGAAGTTCTGCTGCAATAATAACCTGCAGAGAAAACATCCATTGCTCTCATGTCAGCCTGACATTATGGGCAACGCATATGCACAAATACTAACACGCCATCAGAAGGTAATAATCAGAATAATAGGGGCGACAAGATTTAACTTATTAGAAATCAGAAAAAGATAACCCTACACAACATTTCATATGGAAATGGATAAAGCCACATAGGAGTTAGCAAAGTGTTCTGGCTCTTAACTAGGCTAGTTCTGTAGCAGAACAGCAGAGATGATACATTCATTCCTTTTCAAGATGAAGTGCTCACCAAGCTTTCAACATAAGCTAAATGAAGAGTCTGAGGATTCAATGATCTGTACTGTTTTATTATTTGTTTATTTTTGACACTCCACTCAGCGTCTGGGATCTTAGTTTCTGGACCAGGGATTGAACTCAGGCTCTCAGCAGTGAAAGCTTGGAGTCCTAACCACTAGACTACCAGGGAATACCTGATCTGTACTATTTTAGATTGTTATTTAGAAAACCATCCTTTTACGAAGACCAAAAATTACGCTTTAATCAAAAAGACTTTAAAATTCTTGCCTGCATCTTTGGAGGGAAAATTAATTGTATTTAAAAAGCTCTGCTATCATGAACAAGTTACTTAAAGATCATTCTTTCAGAAGAGGTGGATTCTATTCTTCCATGGCTTAGAGATTAAACATTTCCCCACAAACCACTGCTTTTTTTAAGAGAGCAAATTATTATTTTTTTCCCTCATCAAATAACAAGTGTTTCTACCACATCAGTGTGCTGGGTGATCTTCGAGGAGTTTATATCATGTTACTGATCATGTTTACAAACTCTCTCAAACTCCCAAACTCAACTCAACTCAACTCTCAAACTCATGAGTTCACTTGTCAGTATTTAAAATATAGAAACATCTTGTTTTTTTAAAAATACTTCGTAAGGTTTTAGGAACTTCTTCTGAGCCTCAGGCTGTGACAGAAAAAGAAAACATTTCCTTTTTCCTTTAAATGACTTATTTATGGTTAGAGCTTCATTTTCTGAAACTTTGATTTCAGGGGAAAGAAAAACACTAGTCCTCAGCTAGCAGTCTTTACCTACCACGGAGGTGGTCCCATCTCCTACTTCTTTGTCTTGCAGATCCGCTAGCTCACAGAGAACTTTGGCTGCAGGATGCTCTACCTCCAGTAGCTTCAGGATGGTTGCACCATCATTAGTAATGGTTACATCCTAAGAAATTTCCAGAGAAGAAAAAAATGACATAATCATCCACAAAAACAGACCACCCCCTAAATTAGCCCAACCCTGTTATGATACATTCACCTTCTATATACCTTCCAATACAAGCGCTCTGAGAAACACAAATAATTACAAAGTGAGATATTTATGAACTTATTCTTTAAAGTAACAAACATTACGTGTAGACCTATACTTACACCAATGTCATCCACCAACATTTTATCCAAGCCAACTGGACCAAGAGAACTTTTCACAATATTGGCAATTGAAGCTGCAGCCATGACTGTAGATACAAAGAAAAATTTTTTGAAAACTCAAGATCCCAAGAGACAATCATTTCAGTCTAAAAGTAGTAAATGAAGTCTCTGAATTTTCAAATTTATCTCATCTGTCCTAATCTGAAAATCAACCAAAAGTCTAATGTAAGGAGAGAGAGAACCTAGTAATTTACAGTTTTAATTCAACTGCAGACAGACACCAACTGTTATTAAGAGCACTCACTCCATTGCTTTAAAGAAAAAATAATCACCTACTAGTCTTCACTGCAGATTCTGCCACTCCATACAAAACATAAAAAGATACCAGCCTTTTTTAGATTCTGGCAAGTTAAAAAAAAAAGTTATTAAAAAAAATTAGTAATTCCAATGTTCTGACTACAAATTTGCCCAAGACAAAAATTAAGAATCTATCAAATAACGGTAAGACTGACTGATTTCAACTGGTAAGAGTCACAAGATCTGTGACTTCAAGCGACTCAACAGCAAATGCTTTAACAGGTTAAAGTTTACTAGATAAACTTATTTGAAGTACCGCTTATGTATCATTCAACAAAAAGTCCGTCTGCTAAACAGGTGGTCAGTGACAGGTGGCTAAGAACTAAATCTGGCCTGTAGGGACCTGGCATCTACTGCAGAGGACAACTGCAGGATACAATGTGCAAATTTCACTCTTGATGAAAATTGAAAGGAGTGTGAAAAATCTGGCCTAAAACTCAACATTCAAAAAAAAACTAAGATCATGGCATCCGGTTCTATAACTTCCTGGCAAATAGATGGGGAAACAATGGAAACAGTGACAAACTTTATTCTTTGGGGCTCCCAGAGCACTGCAGCTATGAAATTAAAAGATGCTTGCTCCTTGGAAGAAAAGCTATGACCAACCTAGACAGCATCTTAAAAAGTAGAGATATTACTTTGCCGACAAAGGTTTGTCTAGTCAAAGCTATGGTTTTTCCAGTAGTCATGTACAGATGTGAGAGCTGGACTATAAAGAAAGTTGAGCCACCGAAGAATTGATGCTTTTGAACTGTGGTGCTGGAGAAGACTCTTCAGAGTCCCTTGGACTACAAGGAGATTAAACCAGTCAATCCTAAAGAAAATCAGTCCTGAATATTCACTGGAAGAACTGATGCTGAAATTGAAGTTCCAATACGTGGGCCACCCGACGCGAAGAACTGACTCACTGCAAAAGACCCTAATGCTGGGAAAGATTGAAGGCAGGAGAAGGGGACGACAGAGGATTAGATGGTTGGATGGCATCACCGAGTTGATGGACACGAGTTTGAACAAGCTCCGAGAGTTGGCGATGGACAGGGAAGCCTGGCGTGCTGCAATCCATGGGGTCGCAAAGAGTTAGGACACGACTGCGCGACTGAACTGAACAATGTTCAAGTCATCTGAATAACAGTCTATGGTCATGCACTCACTAATCAAAAAAAAAAAACCAATTAGAGATAGTTCTGTCTGGTTAACAGCTGTAAAACGGGGTCCAGAGACGCCTTTCTGGACTAGAAACAAAAGGGCGGGCGCAGGGGCCCCCGGCCCGCAGGGACTGGAGGTGCGGCGACACGTGCCGGTGCGACGAGCTCGCTCTCCCAGCTCCCGGCCTCCGCAGCATCCGGTCAAACCGCGCTGCGCCCTCGGTCGAGACCCGCCGCGGGACTGAGACGCCCCCCACCACTCCCAGGGGCCCTTTCGAGGGGAACAGAAGGGAAGCCGCGAGGACAACAGCCAAGGCTGAGGCGGGGGTGAGGGGGACGCGCACCGCCACGGGCCCGCCTCAGGCCTCGCTCAGGCCCTCACCGTTCTGGGAGCGGATCGCCTCTCCAGTGCTGCGGTCCCCGAACACGGACAAAGGACCCTCCATCCTGGCGGCGGGGCGCACGTCGAGTTTCCCTCACACCGCGGGCAACCAGCGTCTCACGGTCCGCGGGCCGGGCGGTGGCCACTGCAGCCGCGACGGCGTGGAAAGGACCCGAGCGACGTCGCTCGCGGGGGCTGCTGGGAACGCCGCTCCCAGCTTCTCCCCTCCCCTGACACACACCTTCCCGGGCCGCACCACGGGGCAGGATGGGAAAGAAAAGGGGGGAGGAGGGTGGAGAAGCGTGAGCGCGCCGGAAGTGAGCAGACGGAAGGGGCGGTCCCAGCACATTCGCCCAATTAGAGAGCGAATGAGAAGGGCGCGAAGGTAGGAGAGCGGAAGTCAGTATCTCGGACCGCTAGAGGGAGGAGGCGCTGGGCTGACGTTTTCTCCCCCTAGGCACAGGTTACGCGTGCGCGTCTGCACATTCTGGTACCTTCTAGAAAAGGTGGGCAGTAGGGCGGAGCTTGGAGTGACGAAAAGCAGGTCGGGGGGCGTGAGGTGGTGTGCCTGAGGTAGGGCCGAGGTTATGTACGGTTCTGGGTGGTTTGTAAATCGGCGTCCTTGTTTTCCTTACGTGTATGAGTTCGAGCGGAGAGAGCCCGGGTTCAAGCGTTTAGGGTTGGGAGTCTGAGCGGGACAGCGCAAGGGTTCTCCATGAGTCATTAGGGAAAACAACCATAATATCTGAAGAGAAAACCGCCTCGCGCTGCCGTTTCCTCTCAGAGACCAACGTGTCTGTGTGTGTCCGCCCAATTATCGGTCTGTACTTTGCGACCCGAGGGCCCAACTAAGGTACCAAGACGCTTTGCGAGACAAGGACGCGGGATGCGGCCGACTAGCGTGGTCAGACTTAACGGACCGTGCCCAACCCCCACTTGGCTCCCTGCGAGGTTTCTGGCTGGCTCCGGTGTTTGTCTGCGCCACAGCGTAAGCGCTGATTGGAGGAATGGAGATGACGGATTGCACTCTCCGCCACTCAGCTGCAGGGGGCTTGTTAGTGCGGCGATCTAGGCATCCATGACCTTACGTCATTCGAAGGCTTTTCCCTGAGTTAGTATGGCTGCGGCCGGCGGCTTTCTGGGACGCCGTTGAGGAGAGGAGGGCAAGGTCTGTCCGAGACTTTGGCTGCGATTCTCCTAAGCGATGGCGCTTCGGCTGCGGTTCTGGGAATTGTTGCCGTTTTGCAGAAACCCCGGTAATTCATCTTACCACTTCTCTCAGGTTATAACCCAGGGTCTGCTCTGGCAAGTTGTCGTTTTATATGCAGCATGCGTTATGCGTGCTCAGTCGAGTCCAGCTCTGTCGACGCCATGGACTGTAGCCACCCAGGCTCCTCTGTCCACGGAATTCTCCATGCAAGAATACTGCAGTCGGTTGCCATTCCCTTCTCGAGGGGATCTTCCCCAGCCAGGGATCGAATCTGCCTCTCTGGCGTTTCCTGCCCGGGCAGGCGGATTCTTTAGCCACCTAGGAAGCCATCATTTCCCACGGAAAAGTAAACGAGCTAACGGTATCGTGATGACAACAATAGTAGAAAATTAAGGACCAGATTCTGTGGTGACGACACTCCGTTACCGAACGTAGCTCTTGTACCTCTTCCAGGGCGCGAGGCCTGAGGGGGAGAGGATGGGCTCAAGTTATATTATATTCCTGTTTTGTCCGTATTCGTCATTCTTTTAAGATCCCTGTGGTTGTTTTTGTTCTTTAGGGTGTCGGGTGGCAGCGCTCTCGACCAGTGCTGAGCCAGCGGTGAAGCCTGAGGTGGACCCCGTGGGAAATGAAGCTATTGCCCCAGAGTTCACCAACCGGAACCCCCGGAATCTGGAGCTCTTAGCTGTAGCCAGAAAAGAGCGGGGTTGGGGGACCGTGTGGCCCTCCCGTGAGTTCTGGCACAGGTAATTAAGTTGCTCCGTGTTGACCACAGAACCCTGCATGGTGAACTTCAAATTGTTTTCATAAGTTCTTTAAGGAGTGTGCCAGGTAACTGCTGGCGAGTCTCCTCTCAGACTTGTGCTGGGTCTAGGAGGGGTTAGTGGGGGGAAAGAGGGCGGCAAACGGTAAATAAATAGGTGTCATAGAGAAAATGTTAAGAATAGGAGACTGGTTGCCTACCCAGACCCTCCGAAAATAGGAAGAAAGCCAAACTATCTGCCAAGAAGAGGGTTCCCAGCAGAGGAAACAGCTAGGGTGGGAATGAGCTTTGTGTGTTTGAGGAACCGAAAGGCTTGTGTATCTAGAGCTCTGGGCCAAGAGGTGAATAGAGAGGTAGGTAGAACACACATTATCAGCTTTATATATCAAGGAAGTGCTTGAGGCTTTATTTTTATTGTCGTGGGAAACTGACGGGGTTTGGTTTAGTGTAAGCCTGAATGGAAGATCATTCTGGTTCCTTTGAGGAGAACAGATTTTTAAGGGGGCAGTGGTAAAGGCAGGAGAGCAGTTAGGGGTTTATTCTTTGTTAAGATGGCTAATTATTGAATACTTTCTATTTGCCAGGAACCTGATGCTAGGCACTTTATATGCATTTTCTCATTTACTCCTTACAAGTACTTTCTGAGGCAGGTGCAGTGAATTCCCCCATTTTATAGAGCAGGGGAGGCTTAGGGAAGGAAACAGGGTTCAAAGAAAGGGGGCAGGGCAATTCATGTTTGAAATAATCTGACTCTTTAAGTCTAGAATCTTTTTTGAAACACCCAAACTATTATTTTCTATTAATATTTGGGTATTTAAATAATTGGACATCTACCTCCCCCCTTTCCCTCCATTTGTCCTATTCACAGTACTACCAGTATAATTTGGAAGTGACCTTGGAGATCCTGAGTCCTACTCTTTTATTGCACAGATGGTTTAAGACAATGATCAGCAGACTTTTGCTCTTAAGCTGGCTTGGTAGCAAAATATTTTTACATTTTTGAAAGGTTGAAGAAAAATGCAAAGAATATTTTATGGTATGAAAACTAAAATTCAAATTTCATTATCCACAAAGTTTTTATTGGCACACAGCCAACCCCCATTCTCACCTACTGTGGCTGAGTTGAGCAGTTGACCCATATTGTTACCTGAAAACTAGGTTTGCCTCTTGGTGGGTGTCAGGCCAGAAGGCACAATCAAGATCAGGAGAGGGAGGGGTTTATTACTTGCAGCATGTAAAGAGAACACTGGGTGTCTTCCTCAAAGCAATGTCTCCCCCAACAGCATAACTGAGGAAGTTTTAAGCTAAGGGTACACACACATTCATGAAGGGGCTTGAGCAGAGAACTCCATATAGAATCAGGGCCAAGATGTACAGAGTCCTAGCTTTAATTTGTTGAAGTCACAAGGGTCAACATTGTCATTTCCATCCTCCACCTGAGTGCAGAACTCGAAGGCGGTATCAGATTGTTCTCTATGTCCCTTGAGGAGGAATCAGAACTCTCTCTTTTACTATTTTACTCTCCTTTGTTGTTTGATTGCTTTTCCTTTGTTCCTTCATTCCCTTAAGATCATTAATTACTGAGACCTGTTCAAGAGCAGGTACAGTGGCCAATCTTAGATCGAAAAATGGCTTTGGTCAAAAATGGCTTCTCTTAGGTTAAGAAAGCCATGCCTGGTTCTCTTTCTCCAAGGACCCACTACCCTCTCTGCTTTCAATCTGATCACTTATAGAAAAAGTGTGTTGACCACTGGATTAAGAGATTGTGATCCTCGTTAGTATAGTGGTGAGTATCCCTGCCTGTCACGTGGGAGACCCGGGTTCGATTCCCCGACAGGGAGGCAACACACCCTTTGGGCTTCCCTTGTAGCTCAGTCGGTAAAGAATTTGCCTGCAGTGCAGGAGACCTGGGTTCAATCCCTGGGTTGGGAAGATCCCCTGGAGAAGGAAATGGCAACCCACTCCAGTATCCTTGCCTGGAAAATCTTATGGACAGAGGAGCCTGGTGGGCTAGAGTCCACGTTCGTCGCAAAGAGTCGGGCATGACTGAGCAACTAACACACAATAGCAAAACCAGGAGTAGAACCCACATTTCTAAATCTAGTGCTTTTTATGCTGTTTGATACTAAGAACCTTAGTATAGTCTGATTTCAGCGTTTTCTTTATCATGAACTTAATTTCTACATGTGTAATGTATACAAATGTTGTAAATCCAAAAAGGAATAGTTTCTCATGTACCCTTCTATAGCTAGTCTGTGCACATAGGTATAAACTTGTATTTTTTTAATATAAATCTTATCTTACCATATATGTTGTTCTGTATTCCCCCTCCCATTCCTTCACCACCACCCCCATCTATGCCACAGACAAACACACTTAAAAATACATGTTGGAAATATTTTGTGTTGGTTGGGAACATTGGCTCTGGACCAAACCCCTGGACTTAAATCCTGCCTATCACCATTACTTACCATTAGTTGTAATATTGCTAAAGTTATTTAACCTTTCTGCGTCAGTTTCTGCAGCCCGAAAAGAAAGAATAATGTTATTAGTTTGAGACATGAGCTCTACCTGTAAATAATTAGGACTCCCTGACAGTCAGTGTTCAATAAATGTTTGCAACAGCAGCATAAGGTGCTACTTTGTTCTTAATTGTGTAAAATAACTGTTTAAAGTTACTCTAAAATACCATTGCATGGCTATTTTAATTCACTGATTCTGGATTGATGATTATCTTTTATGATTTCAACCAGTGTTGCAATTAATTGTCTTGTGCATGCAGTTTAGCAGTGAGATTGGGCATATGTTCATGGGTTTTAAGAGTCATTAATAGATTACTTCTCTGTGAACAGTCTGTCCAAATCCTCTGCCTAGTAAGTTACTGGTCATTTTCTTATTGCTTATAGGAGGCTTTTTATATACTATGGAAATTAGCCCTTTGAAAAATACATGATTTTAAAATATTTTTTGTTTCTTTGCTTGCCTTTTGACTTCACTTTTTTTTTTTTTGTTAGCATGCAGAAAGCTTTGTCAGTCTTTTTTTTTTTCTTTTTTACAAAAGCCATATGATACAGTTTGATGTTATGTTAAATAGCTTGATATAGTTAAATAGGCTTATCTTACTTTGTTTAAAAATTCTCCCACGTTGTCTTCTAGTACTCACATGATTTCTGTTTTTATATTTAAATGTTTGACCCATCTTACATTTATTTTGGAAAATAAACTATAAAGTAAGTATATCTTTATCCAGTGAAGGGTCAGCAAGTTAGCTCTGCATCCTCAGCTCTCAGAAGTGCCGGATTTCTTCTGGGTATTTGAGGCTAAGTAGAAATGTTTGGTTTACTATTGAGGAAATCCTCATAAAGGCAGAGGAAAAACAACTCTCCCAAGTAAAATGCAGGTTGAGTATGTTGACATAAATGAACCAGATGTTGCATTTTTGAGAAATGTTTTTGCACTTATTCACCTGAAGTCATTTATCTTTAGAATTCTGATTTTGTTCTCCTCTCACCTTGTTTAGGTTGCGAGTTATAAGGAGTCAGCATCATACAGAAGCACTTGTTGAGCATCGCAGTGGCCAGGTTGTGGTTTCGGCATCCACTCGTGAATGGGCCATTAAAAAGCACCTTTACAGCACCAAAAATGTGGTGGCTTGTGAGAGTGTAGGACGAGTGCTGGCACAGCGGTGCTTGGAAGCAGGAATCAACTTCATGGTCTACCAACCCACTCCTTGGGAGGCAGCGTCAGACTCGGTATTTTGTTCTCACTACTTAGTTAAAAGGTGTTGCGTTAATTCTTGACATTAGATACTTAAGTAGTTTGTTTATTAAGTTCTTTCCAAGTGTCTGACCCTGAGTTGAGTGTCCTGATGCGCAATACCTCACTTCAGCTTCACAGCAGCCTTAGCGTCAGGACTCGTGGTCCCTCTTCTGTAAGTTAGCTGAGGTTGGCTGGCTGGCTTAGTGTGGCGCTGAGCAGCGTTCAGACCCACGCGACCAATTCTATAGCAGTAACATTGGCTTCTCTGCAGTTCATATAGTATCTTGTCTACAGAATATTTTCAGATACTGCTAATCCTTAACATCTCTACACTTTGTTTTATCTGTGTCATTAAGATCACTTTCTGAAAAAACTAGTGTGGGCTGGGAAGTTAGCAAGGAGCAGACGGTGGTTCACTTCCTCTTGTGAAGTGAGCTATTTATGGTCAGCTTGTTGTTCAGTTGTTAAGTCAGCTTGTAGTATTGACTTCATCTTTTCCTTTTTTCTTGATCTTCAAAACCAGATGAAACGACTACAGATTGCCATGATAGAGGGTGGTGTGGTGCTGCAGGAGCCTCGGAGAATCTATGAATGAAGCAGAAGCATTGTTTGGAGCTTGTAAATGAAAGCTGTCAGCTCTTCATTCATCAGAAGAGAGCCTCTGGAAGAACTGTCAACTTGGACGTTTTATACAAAAATCTAACAGCAGAATGTTATTAGTTAAGGTTGTCTCCTTCAGTGTGTTTATCTTAAATTCAGGGCTGAATTCTTCCCCTCTTGGACGTGAGAGAAGTATCTGAGAAAAACTTGCTGATTATAATTAACTTCTGAAGGACAAATTAAATTGATTATAAGTTAAAGAATAAATGTATATTATTAACTCTTACTTTCTAGTTATATGAAATTTTCTCCAACTATGATCTCTCTGTGGCAAGGATACACATTAAAGGTTTGTGCACTTGTCACCATGGCTAGGTCATAGCAGGTGGTCTCAATAAATGAGAGCTGTTGCTGCTCAGGTGTGGAGGCTTTTATTTTAATAGATGTCAGTATCAGTTTATTATAAACAGTAATATGAAGATAAGAGCAAATCCTAACCTTATTGGGGCTCCTGAATCCTAACAGAACCAGATTTGAAGAAAGGAATGCAGTGAGAAAAGGAAACAGGGTGAGTCCATACCATCCAGGGAAAATTGGTTGGGAGATGGAAGCCTGAAGTACATTTGGGTTAATTTACAGTTGAAGTAGGGTAGGTGGGAATCATGGCAGGTCTCTTCAATGAGTGATTAAATCAGTAAGGTGTTAACTGATTTTGGCTATTTAAGAAACGTGGTGAGGAAGAGTAAGTAGTAAGCAGTTAGAGTGGCGTCTAGCGTATTCCCCCCACATTTTAAATGTGTACTCCAATTGTGTATTTATATAGAAATTGAAATAACATTACTATCATCAGTCCGAGTATTCAGGGTATTGTAAAAGGGAAAATTATGCAGTCAACATTTTTTAAAAGTTTGATTCATTCTAAAAGGCCTTCAGAATGCAATGCTTAGTAGATTTGTAGATATGCCTTTTGATTTGTAGATATTCTGGTAGAGACATTTATAGGTATATATTAATAGTTCTGGGCTTCCCTGGTGGTTTAGATGGTAAAGAATCTGCCTGCAATGCAGGAGACCTGGATTTGAACCCTGGGTTGGGAAGATTCCCTGGAGAAGGGAATGGCAACCCACTCCAGTATTCTTGCCTGGAGATTCCCATGGACAGGAGCCTAGCAGGGTCCATGGAGTCACAGAGAGGCAGGCAGGACTGAGTGTCTAACACCATCACCATGATAGTTTTAATATATTCTTCCCTCATCTTAAAGATTGGAGCATCTTGTCCTGAAGACCACAGTTCTAGAAGGCTGTCAAACCAGTCTGGAATTCAAGGGAGGACACAAGACCATGGACCGGGGTAGTGTGGCTTTGGAAATTGACAAAAATAGGGTTCACCTGTAAGTGGTAGTGCTTCAGTGGTTTAGTGGAGTCTGACTCTGCGACCCCATGGACTATAGCTGGACAGGCTCCTCTGTCCGTGGAATTTCCCAAGCAAGAATATTGGAATGGGTTGTGATTTCCTTCTCTAGGGGATCTTCGGAATCTAGAGATCAAACCCACCTCTCCCACACTGGCAGGTGAATTGCTTACCACTGCACCACCTGGTGGGGACTTTTCTCTACGAGGCGTAGGATCTAGATCATCTCAGTATCAAGAATTCCTTCAGTTTGGGCAATTTTTGAGACTTGTAGCAAGTTTGATAAATGGTGCTACAAAGGCAACAACGATGCCAAGTAGGGAAAAGGGGGCAGGGGGAGAGGAGGACATGGAGCAGACCTATGTTAACAGTGATGGTAGAGGTGGGAAGAAGTGCTGATTTAAAAACCAGAGGCGATGTGGGCGCCCTATCCCCACACCATGGCTGCAGTACCTGCTTTACTGCAGTTCCTTCAGACGCTGTTGACTGGTCTGTTTTTACTCTTTCTGGCTCTACTTTCTCCTACCATGCCTCTTAATATTCCAGGTCTATGTAAATAACGTTCTCCCCTTGTAGGGATTGCAAAGGAATTGCTGTGGAGCTTAAATGACCTCTGATTACCAGGGCGGGGTCTACGATCCTTCACCCTAGGGGATCAAATACAAGATGAAACACCTGTGGGTAGGCAGGTGGCCGCGCCGCCCGCTGCGCATCCGGGGCTGGTGGGCGTGCGCGAGGGCTGTGCGTTTCCCCACTCCCCTACCCGCTCTCCGCTAGCCCTTTAAGGCGCCGGCGCGGCGCTTGCGTGTAAGCGCGAGGCGACACGTGGCCGCACTCACTGGGCGCTCTCCGCCGAGCTGCTGCGTGGCCATGGACATAGGCGCCGATGAGTTCGAGCAGAGCCTCCCTCTGCTGCAGGAGCTCGTCCTGGGCGCGGACTTCGTGGGTAAGGCCCCGGGACCCTAGGCTTTGGCGCCGGAGCCGGCTGGCCGGAGTGCCTGGCGGGGGGGGGGGTTATGGTTCTTGGGCGGGACCGGGCGGGAGAGGTGAGGCCCAGCAGGGTGGTCTCCAGGCCGCAGGAGACTCAAGCAGGGACCCTCGGAAGGACAGAGGGACTCCACAAGTTTGGGCAGTGGGATGTTGGTCAGCAGTTCCACTCGTAGCCCCCGTGTGGTCCGGGTGGAATGGGGTGACCTGGCATCCTAGCTTTGACTCCCTCTGTTTTCCTTTCTCGACCTCACCTGGCTTCTGGAGTGCCAAGAAGGTGAGCCAGTACTTTTGCCACCTGCAGCGTTTATGGTATGAAGAGCCTTGCGGTGGTCTGTGCCTGGGGACTCTTGTCTGTTTTTGCCTCCCCTGCAGGTCTGGACATAGAGTTCACCGGCCTGCGTTCTAACCTGTCTGGGCCCCAGCAGATCAGGTAAAGCTAAAGCTGCCTTAGAGTGGGGCTGGAAAGCCTCTTTTGTGCCCTGGTTGGCCAGTGTTACTTATTAGCAGGCACCCTGTTGGCAATGGGCAGGCAGGACAGCTTTTTGTGCGGGGCTTTGGGGACCTGGCTGGCTTTCCACAAAAGGCAGGTTCCCTAGTTGTTGTAACAAGGAAAGTGTTGCCCTGGTTTGAGAGCTGCTAACCCAGTGTGGAGGCTGCTGCCTTGATAGCATCTCCTTGCCTCTGGACTGGGATGTCTGTTTTTCCACAGCCTGTTTGACTTGCCATCAGAGTGGTATCTAAAGACCCGTCAGAGTGTTCAGCAATTCACCATCTGTCAGATCGGTGAGTTTAATCGTCAGCTGTTTGTTATGAGTTATTGAAAAAAAAACCTTATTGTCTCTCTGTTTCCTACTGAAAAAACTGCTTTGGCAACGTTCTGAGACACTGGCTGTCGTTTTGCATGCTCATTTGGTTTTTGGCCATGTCGTACCTGTGAGACCTATCTCTTTAGAGTAAGCAGAAACTTGATGTGCATGCCAGAATCAACATTAAGGCACTTGGACCATCTTCCAGGGGAAAATGTGTATGTTTTCTTTAAACAAAAATCATACATGGCAAGATCATACTATAAATATGTTGTTCTGCATCTCCCCCCGCCCCCCCCCCCCCCCGCCCCACCAAAAGGATTTAGAGCTCTTTCTATATCAGCTTAAATCAGCTTATAAAGATTTCCGGTTCAGTTTTTAAAATTTTTTTTAATTGGAGGAAATTACTTTAAATTTTGCATTGGTTTCTGCCATACATCAGCATGAATCAGCCATAGGTATATGAATGTCCCCTCCATCTTGAACCTCCCACCCCATCCCTCTAGGTTTTCACAGAGCACCTGATTTCAGCTCCCTGTATCATGCAGCAAATTTCCACTGGCTCTCTACTTTACGTGTAGTAATTTATTTGTTTAGTACTCCTAACTGTGTCTTTTGGCTCTATCTCCTAATGATGGATGCTTTGGTTGCCATTTGTATGTGATGAAACAAGGTTGCATTGGCTGTCTTAGCTCTGATATATTACTGTGCACTCCTGAGTGTATGTGTTTGGTGTACTTGTAAAGGACCAAAGTAAATATTTTAGGCTTTGTGGGTCATTTGGTCTACGTGTGAAGTTACAACAACTCAGTGCTGCCCGTCTTAATGAGGAATCAGCTGTAGTCAATACATAAATGAATGAGCATGGCTGTATTTCAGTAAAACTTTGTTTTAAAAAAAAACAGGTCCTGAGATATTTTACTGATTTTTGCCTTTCCTGTGAACGAGTCACACCTGTGTGTGTTTGCTCTCTGTTTGCTGTTTTCTTATTTATTTATTTTTGGACGCCATGGATCTTCATTGTTGTGCGCGAGGGCTTTCTCTAGTTGCTTTCTCTAGAGCAGCCCTGGGGCTGCTCTTTGTGCATCCTTTGAAGCCCAGGATGCTCTTGTTGCAGAGCACAGGCTTTTAGTTGCCTGAGGCATGTGGAATCTTCTAAGACCAGGGACCAAACCCATGTCCCCTGCATCGGCCCGCAGATTGTTATCCACTGTACCACAAGGGAAGTCCTGCTATTTTTCTGTTGTGACTGTTTTTCTTAATTGTGAGACCTCTTTGAAAGTATGGAAAACAGCAGTTGAATATGTTCATATTGTTTTCCCCCTTCTTCAAAGTCTTTCACTTTGTGATCTTTTTAACAATACAAACTTTTAAAAAATATTCAAATGTATAAATCTTCATAGATTTTAGTGTTTCTTCTTGTCTTAAAACTATAAAAATGTCTTGTAAAACAACTATACTGCAATAAAAATGAAAAAATAATAAAATTGTAAGTGTCAATATTCTGTGTTTGAACAGCCATTCACAATTATTTCTGTATTTCGTGTGTATTACAGTTTGACAGTTCTCATGTTTTGACTCTTTCCCTTCCTCCCTTCCTTCCTTCCTTTGTTTCTTTTTTAGAAGTTATCCTAAAGTAACTTTGGGTGCAAAGAACTGACTCTTAATTTGATACTCAGAGAGGCAGGAACCCCATTCCAGTGCTAGAGGAGATATGTTCAGAATGTTTTTTGAGTTAGCTTCTGGTAGCTTTTCTCTTGGTATTCATTCTGTCCACCGTCATTCTTCTAGGATTGTCTGTGTTCTCCAGTATTGAAGGCGAGTCAAACAAGTATGTATAAAGACCTTTGGCAAAACACATGGCTCTAGCCTGTTTCTCTTCTCCACCTGCTCCCCCTTCAAATTCTGCTTCAGGCTCTGAACCCCTTTGGCCCTGGATGCTCCATAGTCTCTCCTGCTTCCGGGCCCTCCACCCTGCCTCCCCTGTAGATACCGGCTGGTCCTTCAAGTCTGTCAAAGCAGCAGCATCCCTGGGGGCCTCTCCCAACACCCCCCGGACCTTCAGTGCCTCTTTCCGCATGTCCTCTCCTGTGTGTATCTTCTGAATTGCAGTCAGCAGTGTTATAATGATGGTGACGTAGCTCCTAGGCCCCAACGGTCAGAAAGGATGTGAATGGCAGCCTCCCCTCTCAGATGGGGGTCAGACTCTGTGCCTTTTTTCATTGGCCCTCAGCACCAGCCTAATACTTGAAACACAGCTGGCGTTCAAATATAGCGAACCCTGGAATAATGCAGGGTTTGAACTGCCTGGGTCCACTTACACCCACTAAACACACACTAGGGTACTGCATGATCCACAGTGGGGTCTGTGGGTGCAGAAGGCCTGTGGCTAGACCCAGGGCAGGCTCTAACTTATACTCAGATTTCTGACTGTAAGAACGGCTGGCACCCCTAACCCCCGTGTTGTTCAGGGGTCAGCTGGACTTCTCAAGGGAAGGAGGTGCCCACTCAGAAGCCTGCTCCGTGAGCCAGAATTTTAAGTGTTTTTTGTGTTTTTCTCCTTCTGTTTGTTTTTGTTTCTAGGTATGTAGCTCATTCATGTAACTTCTTCCTCTTCCCTACGACATTTGGGGTTTTGGACTCAGAGTTCTCTTTCCAGGCTTCCAGTGTTCAGTTTCTGAACCAGTATGGCTTCGACTATAACAAGGTATGGCCTCGGAGGAGGGGGCCTGGAGGGTTGAGGGGCCGGGTATCCACCTGGTCCAAGTCTGTTTCCTGTCACCCTTCTGTCTTGTCCACGTACAAGCGGACAACCGAAGGTTTCTTTCTCTGCTGTTGCACAGAGGATGCCTCTGACTCGTCTCCTGGTCTCTCCCTATCTTTAGTTTCTCAAAAATGGAATCCCCTATATGAACGAAGAACAGGAGAAGAAAATTAAGCACAACATCCTGACTGGGAACTGGAAAGTTCGCAGGTAAAGCCCTCTTCTCCGGGTGCCCTGTGAGTTTCTTTGTTGCTGGTGTGTTTCTGGCTTTGCAGGGTGTGGTGACCTCACACCGTCCCCTGAAGCTGGGCTCAGCCACACATGATAGCCCGGAGTGCTGATGATGCCATTCCTATGCCTGAGATCAGAAAGCTGTCACTGCATTGTGTGGGATTTTAGTGTTTAAGATGAAGGGGCAAAAGAACTGACTCTTAACTTGGTCCTCAAAGAGGCAGGAACTCCATTCCAGTGCTAGAGGGGGAAGTGGCTCTGTGGGACTCGCTGTGAGAGCCTTAGGGAGTTTTCAGGGCAAGTCGCAGGTAACCTTGACCATGTGGCCCGGCTTGGGCACAGTGCCCCATGAGTTTGATCCTGCTGTGTTCCCCGAGGGTGGGGTCTCTGCCCTTTCACTTTGGCCTCCGGTACCTGTTGTTGGATGTGAACCCGGTCGTGCTGTGAGGCTTGGGCTAGACCTGCTCGGTGGCCTTGTGTGCTGGAAGGAGCCGGCCACCAGGGCCCAGGTCTGCTGAGCCTGTTGTGTGGTTCTGAACCAGTCCTTTAAGCTCCTTGGGCTTTCGATTCTTTGCCTTTATCGGGGAGAGGGTTAAATTAGACAGCTTTTAATTCTGGAATGTTATGATTGTCTGGTCCAAATCATTATGTAACGTTGGAATTGTATCCTTGTTCATGGTTTTATATAAAAATACTGCTTTGGAAGGGAAAAGCAACTTGAATTTTTAATCTCCTGTTATGTTCAAACGTTGGAGAAAAGGTTTTCCTTTTCTCCACATGACACAGTGTTCTTGTATTTCTAACGCAGGAGAAGATGTACTTACCAAAGTTCCTTTCTTTTCCGTTCTTCACCAGATGGTGCTTTTCCACCTCTGAGGATGGGTACTGAGGAGGCAGGCCCGATAGGGTCTCTTAGTGTTGGCTCTCTCCCAGCCCTTTCCCCCCACAGGCCGGTCAGCAGGAGGGGGAGTGCCCCTGTGGACGGACCGGAGGGTGGGCACCAGATGTTTGCTTTCCTCTTGTGACACAAGACTCAGAAAAGAAATGGTCTTTCTGGGGTCCGTTTTCTTGCCAGGATCACAGGGTGAAAACGGGCACCTTCAGAATGCCCTCCCGCATTAGCGTTTTCTCACGTGCCCATTTTCAGCTCTCTGGACAAAGAGCAGATCAAGGTGGTGATTGACGAGGTGACGCGCTGGCTGGACCTGGCGGAGGAAGGGGACTGGATGACCCTCCCTGGCATCGCTGGTAGGCAGGGGGCGGCCCCCCAACCTGGGAGCTGGCAGTGTGACCTGTGGGGGGCATCCCTTCACCTCTGGTGGATCCTGGGCCTCGGCTCTGCAGACACATGGTTCCCGTGATTAGATGGAGCTCTGACCTCAAGTGGGAGGTTGGAGGGCTGTCCACCTGTTCTGAATTTTAAGGTTGAGGAAGTCAGGTTCCACTCAGCACCATCCTTCTCATCCCAATCCTCAGTGCCCCGTGGACTCTTCCTTTGTTAACGAAAGTAGGTTAATCTCTGAATGTTCCCCACAGTGCATTGTGGGATCACTGCCCCACATGCGCGGTTCTCAGCCTTGCTCCCTGGACCCCAGGGGTCTCTGAGACCCTTTCCACGGGGTTCATGAGGTCAGAATGGTGGTCTAAACACCACTCGGCTGCCGCTTGCCCCGTCGTTGTGCCATCTGCGCTGGTGGGCCCGCAGCCCCTGTGAGTGCTGCCCCTGACGCCTCCGCACAGGTGGGCGTGGGAGCATCTGACCACACAGCACTCATGCTCTTCGTTACCACTTCCGGTCTAAGAAAGATTCTGACTTAACCTTTTGAGTGAAATAACAATTCTTAGTTTTATTAAATTTCAACATTTCATTGCTCATCTTTTACAACATTCTGTGGATAAGTAGAAGTGTGGAGGAAATAAATGTGCATGAACACGACTGCTGCTTCCTGAAGTACAGCGGTTGTCTCAAGTAAAAGCACTTGGGCAAGATTTTGTGTTGAGAGCTGAGTTAGCTGCCTTTTACTTTTTAAATTTTTTTTAAAGAATGTAATTTTTTTTTTCTTGGACATGCTGTGAGGCTTGTGGGATCTTGGTCACCTGAGCAGGAATTGAACCTGGGCCCTTGGCAGTGAAAGCAAGGAGTCCTAATCACTGGACTGCCAGGGAATTCCCCGAAGGAATGTAATTTTTACTTGAAGGAACTGACTGGTTATTTCGATGTGGGTATTTTCAGTCATCTTCTGAAGTGAAAAGAGTAAGCCTTGTCTTCAGGGACACTAACTCCCAGTGTTTGCTAGAGATGAAATTTGAGCTTTCAGTCAGAAACTGAAATTTTAGAAGACTTCATCTCTCACTATTAGCTCGACAGCTTTATGAGACCTTTCTGATGAGATCAGTGACCACATGTACAAGTGTTTCTTGATGGCATCGTATGATATGTGAGCATTTGGAAGGTGGTGTGTATAACTCAGGAAACCAACGTTCTCCAAATAACCAGTGCGTAGTGTCACACAATCGTAGGCAAAAGTGTAATGGGTTTATTATTTTTCAAACCTTACCATTTTTAGTTTCATGTGTATGGTTTTAATTTCTGACATGGTGGACATCAAGACCTGTAACACACACACACACAAAGTCTCTCTGGGGCCCTCCGTCTGAGAGTGGCCCTGAGATCAGAGATGCAGAGAAAGCTGCCCTGGGTCATGCTGGGCTGCCCCGGTCACTCGGCCTGGGGACAGTGAAGAGCTGTCTTCCCACGTCCTCCCTCCATCTCTCTGCTGCTGCTCTCCACAAGGCTTCTGAGGGGAGGGTGGGCTGCCCTGCCAGGGTCTCTGGTGGTTCCGTCAAGCTTTGTTCCCTTGCTGCAGGCTTCCAGGCCTTCGAGGTCCAGCTCGTGCTGAGGAAGGCCCTCCCTGACATCTGGACGGTGCTGAGAGACCAAGGGGTGAGTTCCCACCTGGAGGGGCCAGCCCCCGGGGAGACTCCATCATTTCTTTCTCCTTCAGCCAAATCTGGCGTCTGTGAAAGGCTTCTTCCACCCGCTCCTTCCCTTTTGACACGAGGGACTGCTGCTTTGGCCCCATTCCCAGGATGCTCCATGCTAAGCCCCTCCAGTCGTGTCTGACTCTTTGAGACCGCATGGATTGTAGCCTGCCAGGCTCCTCTGTCCATGGGATTCTCCAGGCAGGAATACTGGAGTGGGTCGCCATTTTCCTCCTCCAGGGAATTTTCCCGACCCAGGGATGGAACCCGTGTCTCTTACATCTCCTGCATTGGCAGGCAGGTTCCTTACCACTAGTGCCACCTGGGAACCCCAGAGAGGCCTCCTGGCTTCTGCCTGGTGGCTCAGTGATGAGGAATCCACCTGCCATCGCAGGAGACGTGGGTTTGATTCCTGGTCCGGCAAGATCCTGCGTACCGTGGTAGAGCCTAAACCCGTGCACCACAGCCGTGGAGCCTGGGAGCGTTCCCAGGGTGCGGGAGCTTGTCGCCTCCTCTTGCTCTCAGGTGGTTGTGAAGAAGGTGAGTACGCAGCACCGCTGGTATCTTGAGAACACCTCCTGTGATCGAGAGAGCTGCTGGAAGGAGAAGATCCTTCTCTCTGCGAGGGGCTTTTCTGTGTTCTTCCAGATGCTGGTGAAAGCTCGGAAGGTAGGGAAAAATTTCTCTCTCCTTGGTCTTTCACGGTGTTTTGTATCTGACTGTAGATGCTAATGAGTCCTTCAACACTAAACTCAAGATTCCTTGACATAAGTGATTCCTTTTTGTTAACTAACTTTGTGGATCTAACCTTGCTTTTATCAAGTCATGATAGGTTTTTTTTTGGGGAAAGACTGTCCCTCTGAAATTTTACCATTCCCTTGCTCCTTTTGGGCACACAGGCATTTCAATACGAGTTGACCTAAAACTGCTTGGGGACCGTGTGTGTCTGCTTCACAGCTTAGATCCCAGTGTGGCTGGGGCCTCGAGTCCCTCTGACCCACTGGTTTGCCTTCCTAGCATTTAAGCAGTCAGGCTGCCTTTCATGGGAATAGATTGCGCGTGGGGATGGAATTACCATGTTGTCAGAATGCGGTGGGTTCTAAAGCTACACCCTTTGCCAGAGACAGCAGTTAGTCTATGGCGTTTGTTTTATTTTTAAAATTTCATTTCTCTCACCTGTCGATTTCCTCCAAGTAGCCCTTGGTGGGACATAACATGATGATGGATCTGCTGCATCTCCATGAGAAGTTCTTCAGACCTCTCCCAGGTAGGGCCGACCCGTCCCTCTCCTTCCTCTGACCTCAGCTTGCCATCGGGCAGGGGGATCGGCCCAGCATTGTGCTCCTGAGGCAGCCCCTACAGTCATCAGGTTTCCAGAGAGGTCGGGTGCATCTGTGCCTGTTACTGTTTTCTTGCAACTGGGTGACTTTCTCAGGGAGAAAAACTTATATTCGATTGATACTCCTCCCCGCATTACAGAAGTTGTTCAGACTCATTGTCAAACTTAGTGAAATCAGAGATGTGCAGGGGAGACCAGCTACCTTTAATCACAGCTGTAATCCTAACACTTTTTGCTTTTTCTTCTGTTTTGGCTTTTCCATGGGCTTCCCAGATGTCGCACTGGTATAGAGCCTGCTTGCCAGTGCAGGAGATGTAAGAGACCCGGGTTTGATCCCTGGGTTGGGAAGATTCCCTGGAGGAGGAAATGGCAACCCACTCCAGTATTCTTGCCTGGAGAATGCCAGGACCGAGGACCCTGGCGGGCTACAGTCCATGGGGTTGCAAAGAATCGGACATGACACACACACATAATCTTTAACACTTTTTGCTTTTTCCTTTGTTTTGGCTTTTACATATTTGACCACATGATGTATTTTATTTTGTTTTTTTTCCCACTTACCCAAAGCATTAATTTATGTCCTTAACCTGAAATTATTTCTCTGGCCACATGGTACTGTCTAATGGCTGTGCCCGTCTTTTCCTTGACTGATGCTGTTGGACGCACTGCAGTGTGATGGAACATTAACAGCCTGTATTCAAGAGTCACGCTTGAATCCTCATTCTTTCCCTTGTTACATATGATCTTGAGCAAGTTACTTTATTTTTTTTTTTTTTTTTTTTTAGTATTCACACAGACTCGATTTATTTTCACTTTGATTGGGGGTGCCCTATCCAGAGAGATCATGCGGGTCAGAAAGCAAACACAGAACAGAGCAGAACAGAACCAAAACCACAGCCAAATCGAGGGAGTGCTGAACCAGAGGAGCTCACACAGCCTACGAGGTGTCCCAGACTGTGAAGGAGAGTTTGTGCTCACGTATCTATGTGGAGGTCTGAAGGGTCACTTGCCAGCGATGCAGATGCCATGCGAGTGGCCGGAGATGTTTCTCCACAGGATCTCTTGGGATGTCGCACGCAGGCAGGGTGCCAGGTGCGGGGGCACCCTGGGAGGTCCGATCCCCCGATAAGTTGGCATGTGGGGCGCAGGCAAGCACACAACGTTTTCTTGCAGGGAGAGCCGAGCGAGGAGAATTCAGGGGTCCATACCTCCAAGCCCCAAGCTGCTGCTGCTGCTGCTTTTTTTTTTTTTTTTTTTTCCGCCCCAAGCTTCTTGAAAGGGTTCCACGTAACATTCTGAAAGGCCAGGCGATGGAGGGACAGGGTTCGTGGTTGCAAACGTCTGGCTGTAGGAATTCTTTGTCTTTGGCGACGGTTCACTACGTGGGTCAGGTCATGAGGTTCCTATACCCCTTCCACGGGCCAGATGTTCACTGGGGGAGTGGGAAGGGTCCACACTCCTGTTCCCACTGCTCCCCTCCGTGAATTGGAGTGCGAATCTAGATGGGCCTCTGACCACACACATCGCTGGGTTACATCACGCCGGTTTGGCCGGCCTTCGGTTCTCACAAACTGGCACTCTTGCTGCTTCTCAAAGTGTCCTATTTTCCTTCATTGCAGTCGTGACGGTCCAATGGTTTGGACGACAACATTTCGTGTTTCAGGGTAGATGATTTCAGAAGGCTGTGAAGGGACTTCCCTGCCCGGTGGTCCAGTGGCTAAGAATCCACCTGCCGATGAGGCAGGGGACAGGGTGTTTTCGATCAATCCCCGATCAGGGAAGATGCCGCTGGGCTCCGGGCAGGTTCGATACAAGCGTATAGAACGGACAATGCCAGGCAGGCGTGAAGGCGAGGGCAGACGGGGGACTCTGGACGAGGATGACTGACACTGACGTCTCGGTGTAGGTGGGTTGTGGCCGGCACACTCCTCTGGGGCAGGATGTTCCTAAGACCGTTGCGGGAGGAGCAGGGGACCTAAGGGAACTCTCTGTGCTCTCTGCTCCATTTTTGCCCCCGGAACCCTAATCTGCTCAAAGAGAGGATTCAGCCTATGGAAAGACAAACTCACACGTGAGTGAACCTCCTTTCTGGTTCACTTGGATTCTGAAAGCGTGACGCTCAGATTCACGCAACTCCCTGGATGTCTGTTCTTCCTGAGATCCCGGCCTACTCACTGGAAGAGCACATGGAGTCGGATGAGATCTCCCTCTACATGGCGGCTCCAGTGTGCACACATTTCAATGGCTACGGCTTGTGGACATCGCACCGAGAGCCTAACCCCGGTGTTTCAGACGCCTGTTTCCACAATGGCCGAACAGTTCTAACTGCGGGAAGCCCAAAATTTGCCCCTGCCTGTTCGATCTGCAGGGACTCTGCAAAGGACACACGTGCCCGGTCTCATGACCGATCCCCCTTTTCCGGAGCCAGCCTGGCGTGTGATCTGTTTTCCAGGCCATAGGCACGCACTGGCACTGGGGAGTTGTGTTTCTCCTCCCCCGCCCCTCCTCCTCTCTGCCCCCACCCTTCCCCCCCCCAGTATGCATGCTCCCTCACCCTCAACCCCACGCCGCCTGGGCCCGGCCCGTCCAGGTCTCCCCCACCCGTGGAAAAGGCCAGGAAGAAATGGTCCCGGAACCGAGCAAGTTACTTTAATGTAATTGTTCTGTTTCCTTGTCTGTAAAATGGGGGTGATAAAAGTATCAGTATCAGAACTGGGGACTGAATGAACTCACAATGCAGAGAACACTGTTTTTATGTTGTTCAGTCGCTCCGTCACATCCCACTCTTTGCAACTCCACGGGCTGCGGCACACCAGGCTCGCCTGTCCTTCACCATCTCCCAGAGTTTGCTCAAGCTCATGTCCGTTGAGTCGATAATGCCATCCAACCATCTCATCCTCTGTCACCCCCTTCTCCTCCTGCCCTCAAGCTTTGCCAGCATCAAGGTCTTTTCCAGTGAGTCAGCTTTTTGCATCAGGTGACCAAGGTATTAGAAAACACTAGCATAGTTTGAAAGGGGTAAACAGTTTCCCTGAGATTTCTCTAGGATCAGTTTAAGCATCTTGAGAGAACTGGGGAAGAATTAAGGGTCAAATAATCACTCCCCTGAAACTAAGCAGACAGGCAAACGAAGAAATTGCTGAAACAAAAGCTGTGGCAGACAGGTCCCTGGAGGCGACCACCTGGCCCCTTGGTGAGTGATGTGCAGGTGCTTGAGGTGGTGAGTGGTCCAAGGTGGGGCAGATGACCCTCTTACCTTGTGGGAATCCAGAGTTAATGCCTCAAACTGGGAAACTGCTGAGCAGTGTAAGCTTTGTTTAGAAATGGTGGGAATACACACCAAAAGAAAACACTGAAGATCATTGTCTTCTGGGAATAGAAAATGGGAGGTTAGTGAGAAGAGGGTGAGCAGAGAGATTTCAGTTTTTTTTTTTTTTTTTTTTTTTTTGCGGTGAGCCTCTTTAAAAGGTATATGGTATAATTTTAACAAATATGCAAATTAATAGGTGATTTTTATCAAGGCACTTACAATTTTTAACTTACTGGATTTTTCTCTGAACAGTTATTAACAGATTTCACATTTGCCTTTTCAGTAATTCTCCCTTTTACCCCTGACTACAACTTTGCAAACTGCATTAACTAAGGTTGGTCATAGACAGTAGTCTGAATTTAATGAAAAACTGTTTGACCTCTGCTGTTACAAAGGGTGATGTCGGGTTGGTTTAAGATTCAGAAATCCTTAATGATTAGGAGCAAGGATGTTTTCAAATCTTGTTTTGTTTTGTTTGCTTTATTAACCAGTGTTGGTGACAAGCTAGACTGGAGAATTTCTTCCCATTTTTACCAGTGAACTCACTTCTGACTATCTGGGTCTTTCCCTTCAGAAAGCTACGATGAATTTAAGCTGAATATCCACAACCTATTTCCTGTTCTCATTGACACCAAGAATGTGACAAAGGATATCTGGAAGGTAATTAAACTCCTTTGGGAAAGGAACACTTCATTAGTCCCAGGAACATTTAGCTTTCTCACTCTTTTTAGACATTGTTCTGTGAACCCTTTTCTCATATTTTATAGCTAGTATTGTTTTTTTTTTTTAATTTGACTACCTGTGAGTCATATTAACTTATGTGTAATCTTTTTTTCTTTCCCTCATTCAAGTTCTCACGCTTTGACTTATGGGTGTCTAGTTCATGGGCTTATTTAGATGGGACAACAGAACAACTTATTCCAGAGCTTGGTAGATACCTCGTGTGTGTTTTCGATGTGCTTAAAAGTTGTCAGGGTTGGGGGCAAGGACCCCGCTTGAAAAATTTTGCAGTGCATTCAAGTCGTGGAACTTCAACCCAGATGACAAAATCACCTGAGAAGGTAAATACTGACACCTGGGCCGCACCTTTAGCTCCTCTGGTGCGGAGGGGCTGGGAGTGGTATTTCTCCAGCTGCCGGGCGACTTCTGTTGTCCAGCTGGGGTTGTGCACTGCCCACGGAGAAGGGAAGCACGCAGCTAGTTAAGATCCTGCTTAGAAGTTAAACTGAGGAACTGATCAGTTTTTTAAACAAAGCCTTAAGCTGATGCCACAGACCTGGGACCGGGTTACTTGGTACGTCTTTGCCCAGGGACACACTTACTGCTTGTACCTATATTTGTAGCTCTGACGGTGTGCTGTGACGCTGCCCGGCTCCATGTAACCGAGTCATAGGGCAAAGTGGGGAGGAAGTGGGGGCTGATCTGAGGGAGTGAGGATAAGGTGAACTCTACGACTTGGTGACTTGTCAGGTCCTTAGACTGCCCAGCGAGCATATGAGTTCTTGGCCACAGTCTGATGCCTTGGAGTCTTCAAACACTTGTCTTTGAAGGGAGATGGTATGAGTTGTGTTTGTAGCAGTTTCTTTTTTTTTTTTTTAATTTTTTACTGGAGGACAATTGCTTTACAATATTGTGTTGGTATCTGCCTATCTGCCATACATGAACATAAATCAGCCACAGGTACACACTGTCCCCTCCCTCTTGAGTCTCCTTCCCATCTCTCCCCTTTAGGTTGTCACAGAGCACTGGGCTGAGCTCCCTGGGTACACAGCAAATTCCCATTGGCTATCTGTTTTACATACGGTAATATGTTTCCTTGCTACTCTCTCGATTTGTCTCACCCTCTCCTTCCCACGCTGTGTCCACACGCTGTTTTCTCTGCATCTCCACTGCTGCCCTGCATATAGATTCATCAGTACCATCCTTCGAGAGTCCACGTGTGTGCTAGTATAGAGTATTTGTCTTTCTTTTGCTGACTTTCTTCACTCTGTGCAGTAGGCTCTAGATTCATCCACCTCATTAGGACTGACTCATGTATTCTTTTTTATAGCTGAGTAATATTCCATTGTATGTATGTATGTATGTATGTGGCAGTTTTTTTCTAGGCTGGGTTATTGGGTCCCAACCAAGTATACTAGGTACTGTCATCAAAATTAGGGAATAAGGGCAGGTGTGTATGAAGAGAGAGGCGTTACAGGAGGACCTAGAGTTTTCAAGGTCATTTTTAATGGCCATTTGGTGATACCTGAGGGTGCTTGCATGCTCTGTCATGTTCGACTCTTTGTGACCTTGTGGACTGTAGCCCACCAGGCTCCTCTGTCCATGGGATTCTCCAGGCAAGAATACCGGGGTGTGGGTAGCCATATCCTTCTTCAGGGGATCTTCCCAAACCAGGGACTGAACCCTCGTTTCCTTCTCTGCAGGCGGACTCTACGACTGAGCTACCTGGGAAGCCCATTAAGCAGAGAGGAAACAAAACCTCAAGTGTCTTACTCTCATTTGTTTTCCATAATTACAGGAACTCAATTTCCCAAGGGTTTCAAATCTCTCAGAAGTTTATGAAGTCCTGAACAGGTAAGGAGGCTGTTTTCGGGGGGCTGCTTAGAGAGCAGGGGTTCCCAGCTGGGCCAGTTTTGTTCCCCAGGGCACCTTTAGCAGCACCGAGACATTTTGGTTATTTATGCTCAGGGCGCTCCTGGCACCCCATGAGCAGAGGCCAGGATGCGCAGGAGAGCCTTCAGCACTGAGAATTCTCCGGTCCCAGGTGTCACTGGTGCCTAGTTGAGGACCCTGTTCTAGAGGGGAGGGAACCTGGGAGGGACTTAGATCTGTTTGATTATGTGGTCTTTTCTGTTGGCCGGGGTTTTATTTCTCCTGTGATCTGTTTGATTGTTGGAGGTGATAAGCTCCATGGGAACAGGTTTTATTCTTCTTTTGGACTCTTTTCTCTTGGGTCTAAACAGTGCGAGGCACAGTAGGTGCACATTAAACTCCTGAGCGACTGAATGGACCTGGGACCTGGTCAAGCTCCTGACCTTCCCACAGGAAGGGCGGGCGTGCTCAGTGCTGACCCCTCGCTGGCGTCTGGCACCATGGGCCCCCCTCCCCCTTCCCTTCCGTCGCGCCCTCTCCTGGATCTCTGTCATTTTCTGGTGAGGCTCTTCGTCTCTTCTCTGCGTGCTCCCGTGTCGTCCCTTACCTCTCGAGGGTCCCTCCGCGGCTCTCTTCTTCCTCCTAACTGTGCCCCTGGGTAACCGAGTCCACCCCGTCAGCCTCAGTGACCACTTCCGTCCCACCGGGGCTCCAGCCTCTTGCTTGCTGGCTTCGGTTGTTCCTGCTCCACAAAGCCTGCAAGCACCTTCTCGGTCCCCCGTCCCCCTGTCCATCCGTCAAGCCTGCTCCTGTGTCTGCAGCAACTTCTGCCACTTCCCGACGGCACCCAGCGCTGGGCTGATGGCATCTGAGCAGGCGCTGAATCTAAACCTATTGGGCTTAAACCCCACCTTTGTGGCTCACTGGCTTTGTGTGTGACCTTGAGAGAACGGCTTAACCTCTGCGTGCCTTAGTGTTACCACCTGAAGAGGGAGAGTCATTTGCACGGGACGCCCACGCTGGCCCTGAGGGTTACACGAGCTCACACATGGGAGGGGAGCTGGGGCCGTGCCCTGCGTGTCGTCCACACTTAACGGGACGTCCACTGCCAGGGCAGATCCACGGCCACCTTGCGGCCCAGGCACATGCTGCTTGACAGATGAGGAAACGGGGCTTCACAGCTACTAAGCCGATAGAGAGGCGCCAGTAGATTTTGTTGGGAATCAAATGAAGGGAGGATTTCGCTGTTGAGTGCTGCCCCCGTTCACCCACGTGCCAGGACCGCGCCCTGGAAAGCGTCCTGGAGCCGGACGTCCCGTATCTTCTAGTCCTGTCAGCTTTACTCTCCTAATGTCCTTAAACTCTGTTCCTTTTTCGGTATCCTCAAGAGTCCCTGCCTTCACTGAGGCCTTTACCTTTTATTCCCGTGATGTCGGTGGCGCCTACCTGGCAGCTGGGTGGCCTGAGCTGCACTGTTTCCTGAGCTGAGTGATCACCACTGGAGTGACCTTCACAACGTGAACTCGACTGGACCGTGTTTCTGGTCTCTCTTCCTGCGGCTTCTGAAGCCCCCACGCATCACCTGAGCGCTTTCCTGACCCCCGCCCTTCACCCCGGGCTGCAGCCACACGCGTCTCGGCGTCACGGCTCGGGGCTCACCCTTTCTGTCGGGTGTCTGCCTGCTCTTCTCTCGGCTCAGAATCCCTGGTGCTACCTGTTCTCCACTCAGCCCCACCGAGTCCCTGGGGCTCAAGGCTCTCCTGTCAGACCAGCGCCTTGGGCATTGCATTCCTAGGATGCGCTGGACAGTTAAGGCCCCGAGGGCAGAGCCGGCCTGGAGTTGGTCCCGGCGCCTTGGCTGGGACCACACGTCTGGTAGATGCTCAGAATGACGCAGGTGGAACTTCTCGCGTCGCAGTTCTTTCATCTGTCCTGTTGCCTGGTTACAAAGACCCATCTGCCCATGCCTAGATCCCTGGTTTTTGTTTGCCTAGGTTTTACTTTATATTAGGACCACAGTTTGTTGTGCTTTAAAAGGAGTCCCGGTCCTCTCTGTGTGTGTGTGTACATGCGTGTGCACAGTCATGTCTGACTCATGACCCCATGGACTGTAGCCCACCGGGCTCCTCTGTCCATGGGATTCTCCAGGCAATAATACTGGAGTGGGTTGCCATTTCTTTCTCCAGGGGATCTTCCCGAGCCAGGGATGGAACCCGTCTCTTGTGCCTCCTGCACTGGCAGGCAGGTTCTTTCCCAGCGGTGCCCCCTAGTCCCAGTAGGAGGAGGGAGAGGGGAGCACACGGGGAGACTGTTTTCAGTGAACGTTCTTTACCTTTCTTCTCTCCTAGTGACGTGAACCCCACCAAGAACTCCGGGCCGGTGATCATTCACGCCAGCAGGTGTGAGAAGTACGGTAGGTCCCCTGGGCCGGGCTCCCGCGTGGTCGGCTCGGCTTTGAGGTGCTGGCGCTCAGGCCCGTCCCCACACAGAGGTGTGGGGGGGCCGGGTGGGGCTTCTCCAGCGTCCTGTCCACGTTGTAACGCCTCCCTCCAAAGGAGCAGTCCTGGGGGCATCGGTCTGTCGGGAAGCCCTCTGCTTCCTTCTTCTGTGGATGCTCTTGCCACCGTGGGGGGGTGGGGGGCATGTCTAGGTCAAGGTGGCATGAGGCTGGGACAAGGGTCGTGGTCTCTGTAGGAACAGCTGTGGGTCAGTTGTGTGTGCACGGCCGACCGTGGGTGTGGACCTGAGGTGGGGGTGCCCTCTCCCAGGCTGCGTTCTAACCGCTGTCCTCATGTTTCTGGGAAAATCCTGCAGTGGAGACCAAGTACCCCCACGAAGCAGCATACGACGCCTTCCTGTGTGGGTCAGGTGAGGGCCGCCACCCCCTTCCAAGGTGGGGGACTCGCGGCATCTTTGCAATAATCCCCCCATCGTCTCTGGCCACACCCCCCGCCCCCATTTACTTCCAGGTGGGCGGCCCCTTGGAAATAAAGCCTGAGTTTCCATATCACAGTAAGGTGGTTGGGTGCGCCTTGGTGTCTGTCTCGTTGCTAGCTTCTTCTCTTCCAGTTCTGTTGAAGGTGGCGCACCTGCTCCTGTGGAAGGTACACAGGTGAGTGTCGCTCTTGTCCTGTGATCGGGTCCGTGGTCGGCAGTAAGCCAGGGCCGCGGGGCGCCCACGCTCTCCCAGAGGAGGAGGGCGCACGTGTTATGTAAACAGCACATTCATGGGCGCTGGCAGCTCGCCTCCATGGCTGGCCCCCGACCCCTGGGCAGGTCCCTGCCCTCCTGCCTCTTCTTCCAACCTTGGGAAAAGTCCCTGTCAGGCCAGGCCGTGGGTGAGGCTCAGGTTCCAGCCCCTGCCCCAGTAATCCCAGCGCCGTGTGCCCGCTCCATCTATTACCCTCCTATTTCCTCACACCATGTGAATCACAGTGAGCTGAAAAGACGGAGCATTCCGGGGAATGGATGGTCTTTGCCCGGGTTCACAGTCAGGCTGGGGGAGAGGGCAGGGACTTGGAATAAGGCACCTGCAGGGGAGGTTCTTAAGAGCCCAGACTGGAACCTGAAATGCGTTTTCTAAGGGTCTCAGCCTCCCAGGGTCTCAGCGAGCCCTCCTGCAGGGCTCCCCGCATGGGCACCAGCTGCACACGTGTGCCTCACGCTCAGCAGCACCACCCTTGCTGCACACGTGTGCTCGGTAGGATAGAGCATGCCTGGGGCAAAAGCCGAACCAAGTTATGTTCTCTGAGGCTGACTTAAATGTTTTCAGACTGTACCCTGTTCGTCTGGGTACTGCCTGTACTTGTCCATTTTGGCAGATGCTATGTTGACAACCCACTCCAGTATTCTCGCCTGGAGAATCCCATGGACAGAGGAGCCTGGCGGGCCATGGTCCATGGGGTCGCAGAGAGCTGGACACGACTGAAGTGACTAAACATGCACGCACCATACATAGAAATAGCCTGTGACACTCCGGTGTGTGAAGCTTGTAGCTTAAGTGAGACGCTGATAGCTTAAGAAATCCGCCCCCTCCCTGCCCTCATCTCCGTCTTCCCTGCTCCCTGACAAAGGAGCAGTGGGGCCTTTTGGTGCCCTGGTCCCTGGGCCTGGCCTCCTGCACTTTTTTCACTCCTCACCACCTAACCACCCTCCTTGGCATCGAGGGGCTCCGTGGCAGCCCAGGCCTGCCTGACCCCACGGGTCGTACTTTCTCAGGCATGTGGCGGGGGCTGGTGACAGAACCAGGCCGTGGGAGGGAGAGACTGCCCTTTGGACAAAGTGGGGGGTGATGCCCTCTCGAGGGGCAGCAGAGGGGACCTTCCTTTCATTCTCTGACCTGTGGCTGACGTTTGTCGGCCCAGAGGTGTTCACCAGAGTGTCGCCAACAGATGGTGACCCCTGGACGCTCCCCCTGGGCTGGGGCTATGCTGAGAGCTCACTGGTTGTTGGGGGGACGCCCAGCCACAGAAGTCCTAGAGCTTGTGAGGGGGTTTGGGGGGTGGTGTCAGGCAGCGCCGACCCGCTGTCCCCAGGCTCCGAGCTGCAGCGAAGGACTAGACATGGTGCCCGTAGGCTGAGCACCGTGGGGTTTTCTGCCTTCACAGCGCTATTCCCATCCCCGAGCCCAGCTTCCCCCTCTACCTGGATGTGCTGGCGCCCTACGTGAACCAGGTGAATCTTATCCGAGCCGGGGTCCCCAAAATCGTAAGTAGACTTCACACTGCTCTTTGTAGGGGATGGGGACAGGCTTGTGCTAGGACGCAGCATGCTCCTCTGGGCTCTCTTTAGGGCTTCTGACAGGAGCCAGACTCAGTCGAGAAGGGTACTCACACTGAGCCTGTTATTTTGTTTTTCTCATGTGTCCCTGCCAGAAGCAAGGTGACCTCGCCTGTTGCTTCTTTTTCCCCCACCACCACCTCTGGCAGACAGGGCCTTTCCTAGTTTCTCTTTCAGGATGTTCAAGCTGGGTGGGTGGTCAGTCTGTAGGAGCTGTGGGAAATCCCTTCTCCTCCCTGTGTTCTAGAATAAGCTGGGTGGGTGGTAAGTCCATAGGAGCTGTGGGAAATCTCTTCTGCTTCTCCTCCCTGTCTTCTAGAACTTTGCAGGCCCAGACTCCCCCAGCATCCGCCCCCCCATCCTCATCCTCACCGTCAGGAGGTGGCCGGGGGTCAGTGAGCAGCAGGTCTACCGCGAGTTTCAGAACCTCTGCAAGTTTGATGTGAGGAGGCTCACGCAGAGCCAGTTCCTGCTCATGACCAATAAGTTCAAGGAGTAGGTGCCTGGGCTCTCGGCCGGCCCGGCCCCCCGGGGAGCAGACCCGGCCCCCGCATCCCTGACCGCGCCCTTCTCTTGGCAGCACGAGGAGCATCCTGAAGGAGTATAAGTGCCACCCGACGCTGCAAATCTCGCTGTACCGCTACTGGAGACACTCCCCGAACATCAACTGCCTGCTACGGTAAGTGGCCGGCACAGAGGCTGCCTCATGGGGCCCGTGGTCCCCGAGTGGGGCGAGTTGACACGGCTTGCTGGCTGGAGTGTGTTGTGAAGGGGTCATAGACGAGCACGGTGGACCTCTTCGCAACCCCCATGGACTGTAGCCCACCAGGCTCCTCCGTCCATGGGATTTTCCAGGCAAGGGTACTGCGGAGTGGGTTGCCATTCCCTCCTCCAGGGGATCTTCCCAACCCCGGGATCAAAGCCAGGTCTCCCGCATTGCAGGCAGACGCTTTACCATCTGAGCCACGACGGAAGCTCCTCCTGTAGGGATTAGCAGATTATTGCTCGAGCATCTGCAATGCGGTGACAACCCACTCCAGTATTCTTGCCTAGAGAATCCTGTGGGCAGAGGAGCCTGGTGGGCTGCTGTCCATAGGGTCGCACAGAGTCAGACACGACTGAAGCGACTTAGCATGCATGCATGCTTGCATTGGAAAAGGAAATGGCAACCCACTCCAGTATTCCTGCCTGGAGAATCCCGGGGACAGAGGAGTCTGGTGGGCTGCCGTCTATGGAGTCGCACAGAGTCGGACACGACTGAAGCGACTTAGCAGCAGCAGCAGCAGGTTCCAGGGCTTCATCAGTGAGTGAAACCCAAGCCCCTGTTTTTTTTTTTTTTTTTTTTCATTTATTTTTATTAGTTGGAGGCTAATTACTTTACATCATTGCAGTGGTTTTTGTCATACATTGAAATGAATTAGCCATGGATTTACATGTATTCCCCATCCCGGTCCCCCCTCCCACCTCCCTCTCCACCCAATCCCTCTGGGTCTTCCCAGTGCACCAGGCCCGAGCACTTGTCTCATGCACCCAACCTGCCAAGCCCCTGTTCTCATGGAGCTCGAGTGTTAGTGGGAGATGGCAGACAATGAGCAGGTGAACTGATAGGTGATGAAAGAGAAATGAGCAGGGTCAGGAGGCAGGAGGGGTGGCCTGGGGGGAGGCTGCTCTTTGAAGGGGAAGATAGGGGCCCTCATAGAAGACTGGCAGGGAGGGGAAGGGAGTGAGCCAAGCGTGAGGACAGCGGAGGGGCCGGCGTCCGTCCAGGCAGAGGGGGTGGCAGGGACGGGCCCTCAAGTGGGGCCTCCTAGTGTTGTTGAGGGGCAGCAAGAAGCCGCCGAGACGGACGGACGGACAGAGCAGGAAGCAAGGCCTCAGAGGCTGGCAGGTCCCTATGGAGTGGGGAAGCTGGGTCTCCATCGACCATCCTGGCAGAGCAGTGGCACGTCACTCCTCACTGAGACACGGGGGGCACGGGGCAGGAGTCGTCAGGAAGCCAGGCCCCCTGGATACACGGTTCGGTCATGGCTTGGGCCCCTCGGTGACAAGGGTGATGAGGGTGGTGGAGATGGGAGCCGACAGACAGGAGCAAGGTCAGCTTTAAATCCGGGGTGTGCTGCCTGAGCAACTAGGAAGATGGGATTGCTCTTAACTGAGCTTCAAAGGTTTCGGATTCCTGTTAGGGGCCAGATCTGCTGAAAACCACGTTGTTGTAGTTTAGTGGGCATAAAAACTACTTCTCTGTCAACCTCATGGTGGCGGTGATTTAGTTGCTCCGTGTCCGACTCTTGCAATCCCATAGACTGTAGCCTTCCAGGCTCTTCTGCCCATGGGATTTTCCAGGCAAGAATACTGCAGTGGGTTGCCATTCCCTTCTCCCTGCAAGCCGCATAGTTGACATATAAGTAGTTCTTTGTTATAATCCAAAGAAAGTGTTCGTTGCGCCTTGTGTATGTGTTAATGCTACTTGTTGTCTGTTTATAAATTAAACCTTTCTTGTTTTGAAATAAGATGTCTTTTTTTGGTAGATGTCATAGACGTCATATGATTAAGATATATTTATAGATGTTCCTTTTGAGCATCTACATATATGAAGTTAGAGAAAAGTTAAATAATATAACCATGGGAAACTAATATAATCTGCGGAGACAGAAGCCTGGACAAATGTTTCGATAACAGGCAATGAAACTAGCAAAACAGGCAAGATATTTTGGTGACCACTAAATTTAAATGAAATCTTCATACAAAGTCCCATTAAAATAAATGCTGAAAATACTGGAGAGAGAAAAAATGGCATCGTTGAAGAAAAACGCTTGGCGGCTCAGCAGTCCATTTGCCTCTCCTCCTCCAACATAAACCACCAGGGAAGATGCCCTCTGCATCCCAGGGCCATTCTAGCCTCCAGAGAATGTGGGCACCAGAGGAGGACAGAAAGAACATAGCATCTGGGCGAGCAGAGGTGGGGAGGGAGAGGGGGTGAAGGCCACACCAGCTTCTCTCCCGCCGGGCGTGGCCGGGGCCTCCGCGTGGGCCAGGCCGCTGACCCGGGTCCTTGTCTTGCAGGGTCTGCGGCATCGTTACCACCTGGGCCTTCATCGCGTTTCTCCTGGGAAGAGCTGGCCCCTGAGGGCAGCGAGGCCGCCTGCAGCTCCGTCCTGTCTCCACGAGCCCCCTGCAGGGCTGTGTGTTTACCTCACATCCTCCGTGCATATGGATCGGTCCCGTCCTCGCAGGGAACTGTGTTCCGTTTTCAGCGTGAAAAAGTCTGTCAATATTATCACTGATAAGTCCTTTGTTTGTGGCCCAAACGTTTCTTTCTATAAATAACTGAGGGGAAGGCATGTCTCCTGGGCGTTTAAGCTCACATTCCAGAGTGTCTTCTGAACGGACAGCTAGGCATCCAGCAGAGCTGGCCGCTGAGCAGGCCAAAGGCTCTGTTATTTCTGGGAAAGAAATCATTAGCCAGTCAGTTGACAGGGATTTAGGCCTAAGAAATGGCCCGAGTTTTAGTAAAGGGGAAAAGTAAAGCCAAGTGTCCACGTGCACACGTGTTGATCTGCTTTTATTTATTTTGAGGTTTCTCTTTGGGGTATTTTTTTTTTGTTTTCTGGGTCAAAAATAGTTTTTATTGAAGAGAAAAGACCCCAGCCTACAAAATGTGCTACTCGTAGTTAAAATTTTATGTGTTTAAGTTGCAGAATATAGTATTTCATAGGTTAGAAAAGAGAATAGTTAATATCAGAATCATGGAAAATGCTATGCAGAACAAGTAAATAGGACATCGTATCATTAGATTTGTGTAGTTCAGCTCTAGTGAGTATAAAGGCAGGTTGATTTTCCTTTTGTTTATATGTTCACTGACTCAGCAAATATTTACTAAACTTCTATAATGCCTAAGATATTAGAACGTGTCTTCTGGATGCTTATGGTAATAATCATTTAGTTTTTGTTTTTTAACTGAGTTGCCATTTATAAAATTACACTTGGCCCCTGATGTTTTGCTGAGAAGTTTCCCCTCAGATAAATAGGGGTAGAGCAGACTAAGGCTTTATGACCCATGTTTGAGATAAATATGATAAACCCTGAAGTGTTCATATTCACTTTGGAAACAAGGTGACCTGTAGCACAGGTATGTGCCCCGAGACAGGTAGGATCAGATTCTTTTCTTTCCTCGGCAGTGCCGTGCACTTCACGTGGCTTTATCAGGAGCTGTTCTCTACTGGGGGTTGAACTTGGCTGGGCTGTGTGCTCAGCCTTGAACTTCACTTCATTATTCAGCAAAGCCTTGAGCTCTGTGCGAAAGAGGTTTTTTCCTCTGTAAAAGCAGAAGTGTTAGAGATGGCAGTCACCCAGAAGAAGCGTTGGGGAGCAGCCGTCCCTTGCTGTCCTGGGGTGTGAGTGTCAGGCTCTGACCGATGGGCTGCTGTCCCTACAGCCTTCCGGGCAGCTCTTGTGTTCAGACCAGTGAAACGCTTCCCTCGGTCGGGGAAAAGGGCTTTATCCATCTGTCCACACAGCGTCCTAGGGGCATGTTTTTCTTTCTTTTATTTGGCCGCACCAGATCTTAGCTGTGGCATGCAGGGACTCTTAGTTGGCAGCATGTGGGATCTAGTTCCCTGACCAGGGATCAAACCTGGGCCCCCTGCATTGATAGCACTGAGTTTTAGCCACTGGACCACCACGGAAGTCCTGGGGAATTTTTGTTTTGTTTTTGTCTTCCTGTTGGATATTCCTTTGTGTGTGCAATGGAAAATTCCCACTGTTTATGGGCTTTTGGGACCCCATCTCATGGATGTGAGCCCTGCAGTCAGTAAGCAAACCTGAGAAGTGAAAACAGACTTCTCAGCTGAGCCTGTACAGTGACCATATTGACCTCCCGGGGTCAGGGCCTGAGCACTGAACTGTCTTAGTTCTGCAGTGAGAGAGCCTGTAGTGGTTTTATCAGACATTACTCGTTTGCTTATTTAACTCTTTGTCTCCTTGTAAGTTGTTGCAGAGTCCCTGCTACGGGCGCCCTCACTCAGCAGGGCCTCCGTGCTGTGGTCAGCATCCTGCTGTCCGTCCGTCCGTGGGGACCCCGGCTGGCTGCACGGTCTGCTGTCCCTCTTGGAGGAGGCTTTGATAGCGGGACCTGAGCTGCTCAACCCATTACCTCGATGGGTTTCCGTTTACTAACTTCCCTGAGGCTTCTCCCCGAGGCACCGTGTCGGAGGTGCCGAGTCCAGGGAGCACACTGCTCGCACCACCTCCCGCCCTGCGTCCCCAGACAGAGCCTCGGGATGCGGGGGCAGCTCTGAGGCTCTTGCCCCTGCTCTCTCCTCAGCTCAGCTAGTTCTTCACGTCGGTGCCTCTGTGCCGCCCCTTCCCCATCATCAAAGGCAAGAACCAAAGCGAGAAACAGATAAACTGGATCCCCTCCCGTCTGTGTGTATCTCGTGTCTCCCTTACCCACTCATTTGCTGAGAGACTTCTGTTGTTTCCTTGTCTTGGCCACGGTGAATAATGCTGCAGGAAACGGTGGCTGTGCACATCTCTCTTTGATGGTTTGTTTTCATTTCCTTTTGGATGTACACCCAGAAGTGGGGCTGCTGGATCATATGGTAGTTTAATTTTTAATTTTTTGAGAAACCTCGGCGTTATTCTCCATAGTGACTGAACCAGTTTACAGTCCCACCAGCAGTGCACACGGGTTCTCTTTCCTCCACATCCTTGCCAACACTCACAGCCTGTTGTCTTTCTTGATAATAGCCATTCTTATAGAGGTGAGTTTATCTCATTGTCTCATTGTGGGTTTGTTTGTTTGATTTTTTTGGCTGTGCCACTGGCTTGTAGGATCTTAGTTCACTGATCAGGGTTTGAACCCAGGCCCTGGCAGTGAGTGCTCCAAGTCCTGAATCTCAACCCCTGGACTGACAGGGGATTCTGTCATTGTGGGTGGTTTTGACTTGCATTTCTCTGACATGGCTCAGTGGTAAAGTACCCACCTGCCATGCAAAAGGTGTGGGTTCAATCCCTGGGTCAGGAAAATCCTCTGGAGAAGGAAATAGCAACCCACTTCCAGTATCCTTGCCTGGGAAACCCCGTGGACAGAGGACAGAGGCAGGCCACAGTCCACGGGGTCGCAAAGGAGCCCAACACAACTTAGCCACTAAACAACAGAAGCGACGATGGTTAGTGATGTTGAGCACTTCTCATGTACCTGTGGGCCATCTGAAAGTCTTCGTTGGAAGAATGTCTATTTGGTTTCTCTGTTTTAAAATTGGACTGTTTGTTTTTTTCTTTATTGAATTATGTCAGTTGTTTATATATTTGGGGGTGTTAACCCCTTATCAGATACAGATTTATCCCCACCCTCTGAAAGCAGAGCTTTCCTATGAAACCTTCTGAAAGCCCCAATGGAGCAAAGTGAAGAAGCAGTTACCTGAGGACACATGTTGCTCATAAATGTCTGGATAGATGGGGATAAAGCACAGATGCTCAGAGACAGTGCGAACCATAGAGTGGGGTGCCAAGGTGCTAGAGTGTAGCTCCTGGGGGAGGAGCCTGGTGACGCCAGTCTTGCTCTTGAGGTGACGCTGTCCCTAGGACGTCTTGCTGCAAAATAAATACTGAACGCTGTCTCTGCTTTTTATCTTTTTCCATAAAAATGAAAAACTTGATTCCTTTCAGCTAGGAAAATCAGGTACTAATGTAGGCCTTTTGTAAAAGCAAAGTGGCTTAAAGCCACGTAAAGCAAATCTTCAAAAGGTGGGGGAGATCTTTCCATGGTTGTACAGATATTTCTCCCAAAAGGTTGCCTTTTTGTTTTGTTGATTGTCCGTTTTGCAGCACAGAAACATTTAAATGAGATGTAGCCCCATATGTTGATTTTTTTTCTCTTTGTGCTTTTAGTGTCATATCCTAAAATCATTGCCAAGAGCAATGTTGAGAAGCTTCCTCCTTATATTTTCTCCTAGGAATTTGATAGATTCAGGTCTTAGGTTTAAGTCTGACCTCCTTCAAGTTGCTTTTTGTGTGTGGTGTAAGATAAGGGGTTCATTTCATTTTTCTGTTGCATTCAGTTTTCCTAACACCATTTGTTGAGACAACCCTTTCCCCATTATATGTTCTTGGCTCCCTTAACAAATATTAGTTGACCATATTATAAGACCTTAATTTTATCTTTATCATTCATTATAAGAATTCATGCAAGTCCTCTAGAATGTTTTATGTAGTTAAGAAGGGTAAGGAACTTTCCTGGCAGTCCAGTGGTTGAAACTCTGTGCTTCCACTGCAGGGGGCCCAGGCTCGATCCCTGATCAGGGCACTAAGATCCCACATAGCACAGCCAAAAAAAGGGAGAAAAAAACCAAAGTAGTGAATATTTATAGATGGACATTTCTTACAACTTCATATCTGTAGGACTTCACTGGGTACCCTCCCTACTCCTTGCAGCAATATAACTGCTGTGGAAACAGAACTAATATTCTTAGGGGTCTGAGCAGACAGGGATCCCTATGAGAGTTGGGGAAGAGAAGGCAGGGGACTGATGTACAACCAGAACTGTCGGCTTATTTGGCCATGTAGAGTCTTACTTACCTGAAGGCCTGAAAACTCCACTTTCTACTCCTGGAAGAAATGAGCTAGTTTTACCTTTCAGATTGCCATGTGCTACTTTTGATCCAGATACTCTGCTTTTGTGTCTTCTGATAAATACAATGTGTGAAATTTCTAATCAGTTTTGTCCAGTATTTTGTTTAAGTCACCTGGCATCCACATTTGCGTTGAAGATCATTCTGAACTTTTTGGTTATTGCGGGTGTCAGCACTCCAATCTCTACTTGACCTTCGGAACAAGTTCAAGGGCAAAGATCAGCAAGGCTGTAGGAGCTGTGTGGGTGATGGCTGAATATTGTGATGTTATCTTGGGCAGAAAACAAAGGAACTTCATTAAAATCCCTTGAGTGCTGCCTCGTAGAAATTCAGAATGTCATGACTTTTAAAAACAGCCTGTTTAATTTGGGGTGATGGCTCAGTGGGTAAAGAATCCGCTTGCAATGCAGGAGACACAGGAGACATGGTTTGGGAAGATCCCCTGGAGAAGAAATGGCAACCCACTCCAGTATTCTTGCCTGGAGAATCCCATGGACAGAGGAGCCTGGTGGGCCGAGGTCCATGGGGTTACAGAGAGTCGGACACAACTGAGCAATTAAGCACATACAAGGTAAAGGAATCTTCCCTTGTCTTCTGGGGGAAATTCCCCTAAAATAACTGTTGAAGAGAGAAAAATCCAACATCCTATAGAAACAGGAAAACAGGAATGAAAATAATGTTCATTAGAAAGATCTCCATTTTGTAATAACCTGAATCACCACTTGATGGCAGCAAAAAGTAAGAATCCCAGAAGGGCTATCTCACTGCTGACCAGAAGAGGCGTTTAAACGTCATTTTTTCCCAGTGGGAGGGAGGGATGCTATTGTTTGAAATAATGTTTGGATGTATTTTGGTCTCAGAAGAGCTTGTTACCTGTGACTCCCTCTTCCCCTCCCTAGGACAGACACCATTGTCCAGGCTAGAGTTGAAATCAGCTTAGAAAAGGATGGCTCAGACAGTGATGGGGAGGTTTCTGGGGAACTTGAAGGCGGGGTCGTGAATGTCCGCAGGTCTGGTCTGGAGGACCATAGCCTAGAGGGTCGGTTTTAAGATGGGCTGCAGACACTAGAGGGCTGGTGCCGGCCAGGAAGTCCTAGCAGAGCTGGCACAGGGCCTGGGAAGGTGGGGGGCACCAGATTGGGGGACTTTTGACATGGACCCCAAGGGAAGGGACCCCCAGAAGGGGTGGGACCTGCGGGGAAGGTGGCCCCACGCTGCTTCCTCCCTGGCTGGCTGGGGGCGGGGGGGAGGGGGGTAGGGGGGAGGGCCTTGGGGCCTCCTGCAAATCTGCGGAAGCCGCCGTGGGGGGGCGGGTGTCACGTGGTGGCCTGGGAATGACCTGCTTCACTGTGCAGGGCGAGAACCGGCGCTGGGGGTGGAGGCGGGGTGCCGCAGGGAGACGTCCTGGAGCCAAGCCAGGAGGGCCCTGCGGGGAGGGCACTGTCCGGGGCCGGGGGTCCATCTCCGTGTGCGCCCCAGGCCCCCCTCCCTGGGGCTGCTCCCAGCTAAAGCTGAGCGGCTCCCCTGTCGGGGGCTCGCCCCGCCGGCCCCGCCCGGCCTTCTGCAAGCGGATCGGGACCCTTCCGCCAGCCGTTCTCCCGCCCCTTCGCCCAGGGTTAGACTCGCCCGGGGTCTGGCGCCTCCCAGCGGCTGTTCTCGCCCCGTCTCGTCTCACGCAGGCATCTCCCCTCACACCGTCCCTGTATGCGAATCCTACCTTGTTTGCCTCTCAGAGGCCGGGGACGGGGGCTCACACCCCCTCCTGACACCCTGAGGCCCCAGAGCTACTGTTACATGCAGAGCTGTATCCACTCTGCAGAGCGGGAGGGCGGGAAGGGCTGGGTGGGCATTGAAATGGCTGAGCTGAGATCTTCACTGTCTCCGTACCCGAAAGAAGCTTTTTAAACCAGAAGAGATGAATACCATTGAGGTGCCAAAATTAAGGATGTTTCCAGAACAAAGCAGTTCCGGGAGTTCATGCCTGGCTCTGAAAAATTCAAAAGGGACGTATTTCTGGATATCTGAATCAGGGAATCAAGATCCACCCGGTTCATTGCTCACAGGGCCCTGTCGGGTCACTCTTAACTTGTGCAATGGGGCCGCCCCAGTGACCACTCACCTCAGCAACACCTTTGTGATGGGCAGGCTCTGTGTTCCCAGTGGGGTGGAGCTCTGGGAGGGGAATTTCCTCTTAGACTGAACAGTGTCCCTCCCAAAGTCACGTCCACACAGAGCCTTGGGATGTGAAATCATTTGGAAATAAGGTCTTTGCAGATGTAACTGAGGGTCGAGCTGAGGTTACCCTGGATTAAAATACAGCCCTAAATCCCTGAGGGTCTCCTAAGAGAAAGACACAGGGGAAGAGGCCAGGAAGACAGGCAGGGAACAGAGGAGGCCTCTTCTCGTAGAGACTCCGTGGGCCACAGGCCCTGTGTCCACCTTGACCTCAGACTTTTGGCCTCCAGGACTGTGTTGCTCTGTCGCTCAATCCTGCCTGACTCTCTGTGACCCCATGGATTGCAGCACGCCAGGCTTCCCTGTCCTTCACTGTTTCCCAGAGCTTGCTCAAATTCATCCACCTGGGAACAACCAAGTGTCCATCAGCTGCCAAATGGATAAACACCACGAGGTCATATCCGTAGAATATGTTTCAGCCTCAAAAAGGACCTTCTTGGGGGCAAAAGAAAAGGACATTCTAGCACATGGTACACCCTGGATGGACCTGGAGAACATCAAGCTGGGACATCCCCTGGTGGTCGAGTGGTTAAGAATCTGTGCTTCCACTGCAGGGGGAACGGGTTCCATCCCTAGTCAGAGAACTAGGGTTCCGCTTGCCGCACAGAGTGGGAAAGCAAACAAGAACCAAGACATCATGCTAAGTGAAATAAGCAGCTCTGGACCAATATTGCGTGGCTCACTTCCATGGGGTACACCTCACTGACATGAGGCGTCCAGAGCAGTCGAACTCAGCAGAGCAGAGGTTACAGGGCCTGGAGGAGGGGGCAGGGGGGACTTAGTGTTCAGTGGGTCCAGAGCGTCAGTTTGGGAAGATGAAAAGCACTGGAAATGGTGAGGTTTGCACAGTATTGTTGATTGCCGTTAGCGCTACTGAGCTGTACGCGTAAATGTACGTGAACATTTTCTGTCACGCATTTTTAACCACACACACCAAACTGTTCAATATAGCATGTTCTGTTGTTCGACCTTGACAAATACACTTCAGTAACAGCTGGAAGGCCGGCCGGGTTCAAGCTGAGACTTCGTGGACTCCTTGGACTTCCGGGCGGGAACACAGCCACCCTGGGGAGCTGGGCTCTGACCTGCGGCCAGCCTTCTTCTCTCTCCCTGCGTTGGGCCCCGTCCCTGACCCTGACGGGTCTCACGCACGCCCGTGTAGATGCCCTTTGCCGCACATCAGGGCTCCTGGCAGCACGGTTGACCCTCGTGGGGCTGGGGCCAGGCCCTGGAGGAGCTCCAGGGTCCTGGGCGCTCAGAGCATGGCCTATGGCTTCAGGCCGGCCCATGGCCTGTAGCCATGAACTTTGGTGGGTGGGACTTGATGGGGCGGGCCACTGGGGCCTTTAAAATGTGGAGCCCTACTGCTCAGGCCTAGGGCAGTAGAGGACAGTTGGGGACCACTGTTATCTGTGTTGAGGATAGGGCGAAGGCTAGAGGAGCCATCAGCCTGACCTGGATCCCTGCCTCTCTTTGTGGCCCTGCAGAATTTGGGTTCCTGACCCCCCGGGAGGGTGCCCTGCCTCATGAGGCTGCCCTTTCCCAGTCTCTCTTCCAGTGGGCTGAGGCATTTGACCTTGGGGAGCAGTCAGCCAGACTCGTCCTGCCTCAGCTTTACCTCGGCTGCTGGTGACAAGAAGGAGATGGGACGCTGAGAGTCCTCCCTGGTGGGGGCAGGTGCCGAGGGGGGACCCAGAGCCCAGGGCTGCAGGATCAGGGCTGTGAGGGCAAGGGAAGAACGGAATCTCCAGAGCTTGAAGGAGGCAGCGGCGCGTCTTGATGGAGCTAATTCTGCCACACGATTTTAGCATCACGCAGTTGTTTTTGGCATCCTTAACTTAGCCCGGATTTTTCTGTCCTCCTGGAGATTCTGTGAGCTAGCGAATGTGCTTTTAATAAATCGCCTTTCTACTCAAATTAGCCAGAGTCTATTTCTGTTGTTTGCCAGTTAAGAACCGAGACTAATTACAGCTCCCTGGGCACACGTGGAGTTTAGGGGCTAGAAGTACCTACAAAGTAGCTTCTGTGCGGTTTTCTTTTTTTTTTATTTACTTTTATTTTTGGCCGTGGTGAGTCTTCATTACTGCATGTGGTCTGTCTCTCATTGTGGCGAGCAGGGGCTACTCTCTAGCTGTGACCCACGGGCTTCTCTTGTTGTGGAACATGGGTCCTAGGGCTCACGGGCTTCAGGAGTTGCGGCTCCCAGGCTCTGGAGGACTGGCTCAGTAGTTGTGAGGCATGGGCTTAGTTGTTCACGGCAAGTGGCATCTTCCCAGACCAGGGATTGAACCAGTGTCCCTTGCATTGCAAGGTGGATTCTGAACCAGTGGGCCACCAGGGAAGGCCCCTTTCTGTGTACTTTTAAGTGAAGCCTGCCAGGTTATTGATTGTAGGAATGTGACTGAGAACGACGTGGGAAGAAAGGTATTCAGGTGTTGACTTATAATGCAGCACTCTTAAAAAGGGCATCCTCCAAAAACCCAAGTGTCCTTCATTGGATGGACAGAGAAATCAAATGTGCTGCATGCACCTTCCCCTCCACACAGAGAACACTATGCAGCCTTTAAAAGGAGTGGAGTTCTAACACATGCGACAACCTGGATGCCGCTTGAAGACCTCATGGCAGGATGGACATCGTGCAGACCCAGAAGGACATGTATGATTCCCCGTGTGTGAGGTTGCTAGAGCAGTCCAATCCATAGAGACAGAAACTAGAAGGATGGTTGCCAGAGCCTGGGTTAAAGAGATAATGGGGAACCTTTGTGTAAGGGACAGGGTTTCAGTTTGGGAAGATGAAGAACGTTCTGGAGATGGATGGTGGTGATGGTTGTACAACAGGGTGAGTGAACTTAACACCAATGACCTGTACCCTTAAGCATGGTTAAAATGGTACATTTCATGTTATGTATATTTTAGCATAAAAATCATCAAAAATATTGGTCCTCCGGAGAGAAGGTTTTGTGTATCAGAGTCTGTCTGATTGTGAGACTTGAACCCACATTAGATTTCCTAAGTCCTCAAGTGAGTCCCTGGAAACTGCTTGCAAGAGGATGTGGATACAGCTGTCTATATGGTAAGGACTGGCCGTGGTCCCCTCATGTAACTGCCCATTGAAACCAAAGCAGATGCTGACAGTCTGAGGTGGGGCTCTCTTGGTATCTGTGTGCATGCTCAGTCGTGTCCGACTCTGTGGCCCCATGGACTGTAGCCTGCCAGGCTCTTCTGTCCATGGGATCTTCCAGGGAAGAATACTGCAGTAGGTTGCCATTTCCTTTTCCAGGGGGTCTTTCTGTGCCAGGGAGTTTGAACCCGCATCTCCTGCATTGGCAGGCGGATTCTTTATCACTGAGTCACTGGGAAAGCCTCTTGCAAGAAAATATGCAAAACAGTTATTTCAGGATTGAGTGTGGACCGAGCTGCAGCCCTGAAGGTACGGCTGCCCATTGCTGCAGATCCCTGAATGTCCCCTTCGGGAAAGGCCCGAGAAAATTTGGGCCTCAAAGGGGTCAGCAGACATCCTTGTGGGAAGTCTGGCAAAGATTCCTGACTGAGAGTGTGTGAGTGTGAAAGTCATTTAGTCATGTCCGACTCTTTGCAGCCCCACGGATAGTAGCCCACCAGGCTCCTCTGTCCATGGGATTCTCCAGGCAAGAATACTGGAGTGGGTTGCCATTTCCTTCTCCAGGGGGTCTTACTGACCCAGGGATTGAACCCAGTGCTCCTGTGTTGCCCTGGAGAAGTGATTGGCAACCCACTCTAGTGTTCTTGCCTGGAGAATCCCATGGACAGGGGAGCCTGGGGACTACAGTCCGTGGGGTCGCAAAGAGTCGGACACGGCTGAGCAACTAACACTAACAACTGCATTGCAGGCAGTTTCTTAACTGTCTGAGGCACCGGGGAGAGAGCCCCACCGCAAAACTGAGCCCTCTATGGCCCAGCTCTGGCCTGCTTCAGCCGGGACAGGAGATGGAGGAGGATGGAGGTGGGATGGTCCAGAGCCTTAGGAAAGCTTGTGTCTCCGAGGGGCCTCAACATTTCACTGCAGACTAGAGGAGAACAGAAGGCGGCGTTGACCTCAGCGCTGCACAGCCCTGTTCCAGGGTGGTCTTTCCTCTAGATAAATGTTCATTGTTCCGGAGGCATCAGTGATGATTGCAGACTTCTGAGAAGGCACATTCTGGGTCCAAGAAGGCAGAATGTGGTCACTCTGAACACCTCGAGACTGCTGTATCCAGAGGGTGATATTGACTGTAGACACTTAGGTGTAGATGCTTCAAGACAGTACATCACAGGTAGTCCACACTGCTTGTTGGAGGGACTTGGGAGCATGAGCCTGGGCATGCACTGATATATCTGCCCAGGTCATCTGTCATGTGTGGGTTGGGCTCCCTGTGGGCCAGAATCCTAACATTTCAGGGTATGGGCCTCCTGCTAGAAGAATCCTCTCACACAGGGGTGATGCATGCAGCATGGTCCTCAGCCAGGGAACAGTGGAGGTCTAGAACCATCCACCAACTGCTCCCAAGGCGGCCTCAACTGGGGAGATGTAATGAAACTTCCCAAAGATGCTGGACAGTTACATGTCCTTAATGCCCCTGGGAGACGTCTCACATGGGGGGAACCTAGGTTGCCCGTCTCCATCTGGAAGGAGTCAAGATGCAGAATCCTAACCCAGTGGCAGCTACTTGCAGGGATAAACACAAGAACTGTGTGAGGAGCTGCTGCTGCATCCGGGGGCTGCTCGTATGTGAACAGGCGAAGGCTGGGGGTCAGAGGGAGGGCTTGGGGGCTGTTGGGACACAGGGTGTTGCTGGGAAGCCAGGGACTGCAGGACAGGAGCGAGGTGGTCAGCTGCTGAAGCCCCCGGAGGCCTCTCCTGCGACAGTTTAGGGCCTTACCTAATTGGTCACGGTTTCGAGCTGAGTTGAGTCCTCCAGATTCATGTGTCAAAGCCCTAAGCCCGAGCACCCCAGGATCTGGCTGTATGTGAAGACAAGGCCCTTAAAGAGGTGGTTAGGTTACAATGAGGTCCTCAGGGTGGGCCCTGATCCAGGTGACTGGGGTCCTTATGGGAAGAGATTAGGACGCAGAATGACGTGAGGAGGCAGAGAGAAGACGGCCGTCTGCATGCCAAGGAGAGCGGTCTCAGGAGGAACCGACCCTGCCGGCACCTTGCCCTCAGACCTCCAGTGTAAGTTAGGCAAAATAAATAAAATCAGCCTTAATTTGTCCCAACATTATGCTGGACACTTGTGTTTTTGTCTGATACAGTTTTTATAACCAAGCACAGCGCAGCTGAGTAGGTCTAACGTAGCTGTGGTTGCAGGAGACATTTAACTATCATTTTCTTCTGGCTGCAGACACCGCAGAGTGTCCTACTTGGGGGCAACCTACACATATCAACTTACCAATAATGAGTTTGTTGTATGGGTTGCTTTCAAACAACGGGAGCAAGGCTGGTTGGATCCATTTTCGCTTTTGTGACCTGCCACCTAGATTGCCTGGCAATTACACAGTAGGCCACGATAAGGCACTCTGGTTTTGCAAAAGAGAGTAGCAAGCCCTCACCCTCTAAAATACCACAGGCACAATGCCCAAGGACCCCCTCAAAACCCTAAACAAACAGAAGTCAGCAGCATGACATCATGTTATATTCCAGAAGCATTTGCTAGGTGCTAACTGTAATCAGTGGAGACAGATTAGTTC